ATACAGAGAAAAAGTTACAATTTGTAGCACGGTTGAAATGAACATCATAGGCTGTAAATTTTTAGTTTTTTTAAATACATTTACTTGGTTATCGACATAGTCAATTTGTTTTTTTAAATGTGATGACTTGTTCTTCATCCTGCTTCCAGTTTATCGTCGATTTTTGGGACAACCTATATGAGCTATAAAATAAAAGACTGTTTGTATTTAACTATAATTATAATATTAAATTTTACATACCATTTATATACTAGTTTTCGATAGGTTTTGGACTTTAGAGTTAGCTTACATTAGTAGTAGTAGTAGCGTGCACATGGTTGGTGTAGTTGTAGGTGAAGAGTTTGAGTGCGAGGAAGCCACCGGAGCCGGGCTCCGCGCGGTGCATCACGCCCGCGCCGCTCACCAGCGCGCCGCCTGCGGGCATCCACACGTTACCTTTTAGTTTTCAAACTATTCTAATGCTGTTGGCCGAAGCTGATCATTACAGCTTCACCAGACGATAGGGGATGAGATGCAGATGGCACTCCAAACCAGTGTCGTGGAGCGGCCGGGGACCGGTGTATGGTGACACGAGTAGCATCCAGCCCCATGTTAGCGAACGAACCCCACGCATTCAAACCTAGTGGCGCCCTCAGATTTATCAGGCAGTTGTCCTTCAGCCGTTCCATAAGTCCTTCCGCGAGTTTGAAATGTTTTCTGCAGTCGCTCCCAAATTAGTTCAGTTACAGGCCAGCTCAGGTCAAACGATTAGAAAATTCAAAAAAATAAAGTGATTGAATATACACAAATTTGCTGCGTTGGTTTCTGTGAGGGACAGCATAAAGTTCGACCTAACGTAATGCATAGTCTAGATTCAGTGCTAGCAGCATTGAATCTACACTCTACTATTAAGAAAAGGGAAGAGTTGCATTAAGTTTAAACTAACTTATCTTGCACTGCGGAGATGTTTTTTGTCTTTGACCTCTAATCACCTATTACAACATCCTAAGAATTAAAAGAAAATACACCATATTGTATTCCCATTCCGACACCAATGGTAACCTTAAAATATATTAACCGCGTAATTAGGTTTCATTGACAGTACCATTGACCATCAGATGGGCCGTATACTTGATCGCCACCATCGTAGTGAAATAAATAAAAAAAATACATTCAGAGTAAACTGATACTTACGGCCATACGGCTGTATTGGTTGTATGTCGATGAATGGCACGGTGGTCTGTGCAGCGTCAGTCTCGAAGCTGCTATGCGTGAATTCCATGAACTGATCGTGTCTAGAGTTCTCCGGCATTGCAGCGGTGCTCAGTGTCGGCAAGAATGGCCGAATTAGTTTTAAACGGCTTCTAAAATCCACAGCCATTTACTTAAGTCAAAAACTGTTGTCTATTATTTAAATACTTCAACCTTTTTGACAAATCGTGATAAATTCCTGGTGAATTTGTATCCAACAAATTTGTGAGCCAACTGACCTGACCTTATGCTTATCGTATCATCCTCCACTAGTGCCCACCAGAGAAAACCAGCATAGTTCCCGACTATGATGACCATTCCTTTATGATAAAATTAAAAAAAAAACTTTTTTTTGTTTTCTGTTGATTTAATATATTTATTATGTATAATTTTAAAAGAAATGTTAGCATTCTGCACTCCTCTATAATCTACAACTCGTATAAATGTGCTAAATTACATACTCCTCCGTCTGCGCAAGTTTCGTCAAATAGTACAAGTTAAATATATTAAAAAAAAAACCTGTCTCTCGTATTAATATATAGATGATTAGAGCTTGCATAGGGTACTTGTAGTATTGCACTTACCTGGGAGTTTTACTTGTGTCCGTGTTGTTGTTGTTTATCCATATACTGTTGCTAGGCTTCAGATGGCCAGAGGTGAAGTTGAATTTTGTTGCTCGTATATTCAGGTTCAAATGTCCGCCCAGCAAGCGAAATCTATTAAAAATGGCACCACAACTCATTCATTGAAGTTTAGTATTTTTATCATGTGAAACTTTTAATATTCATGTCGATTTTAGGGTCGTAAAATAAACACTACAATCCGTAGCTACTGACGTTAAAGAGTATGTCGTTTTTTCCCTTGTTATTTATACACTGTCATTTCGTGAATTCCATTTTGGTTATATTTCCTTATCAGTCTCATTGCTTGCACTTATGCCAATGGTATTTAACGAAGCTTTTCTGTCATTCTTCAATATTCTACGGCAGCAACAAAGGTCCAAGTACAAGCTAGTACCTAATTTTAAACAACACTGCTTTTATAATATTTATTAACTTGCATAGTGTTGCTGATTTATTTACGTGTCTTTTTACCCCATACCCCATACCATGAAATGTACCAAACCGTTATTTATTTATTTAATTTAATTAGTTTTTGAGATCGTCACGTATACTCGAAAATAATTATTTTTAATCTGACCGCCACTTTCATTAATATGTCTTTGTATATTTCTCAATGATATTCCAATGACAAAGATATCGATAACAAACCAGATTAATTCGAAAGATGCGTTTACCTCCTGTCATATTGCATTCACAACATACTTATTGAAATACAGTACAGTCATACAGGTATATTTTATTATATACATTGCATTATTAATTTAGTTTTAACTAAAGTAAGTTTTAAACTAACTTCGTTAAATTTTTTTTTCAATAGCTCCATATGTACAAAGGCAATAACAGAATAGCAGAGATGGTGACTCACTGCCCCCTCTGTGTTATAGAATGTTTTGTCTAGATTAATAACCGTAAATTTTGCTTTAATATAAATTTTGTTTAATAATCAGAATAACACAGAGTATAATTGAAACAAGCGTCAAGTAAATCATCTGAAAATTCTTCAATTTTCACTAAACTTCTTACATGTTGGTTTGAAGTCCGCTAAAAGGTGTAGTTAAAGAAGTACATGTATGATAAATTGTTGTAAATACCGTGAATATTGTATATATCTATGATGTTTGAAAATAAATGACATTAATAAATATATTCACCTTACTCCAGTCAAAACGTATCCATCCGGTGCCACGATGTCGTCCAAGTCGATTGCTCTTTTCATATAACTCAAAGTGTGGTAATCCACGCCCTCTCTCGCGCCTGGGTCAGTGTTATGAAATATTTGGAGAAGTACCCAGGACTGATGATGGACGTACCCATCTTTAGTTGGTGTACCCTGGCTGATTTGAAGGTGGAACATCCTCCCTTGTTTTATGATACGAATACCAGTTATAACCCTGAAAATGTTATCAATATGTCATTTGCTGTCTGAATACATTCACTACTATCTAATGAGAAGATTACTTTTAATATATACTTTCTAATAATATATAATGACTATGGCATAATTCTTCAATTGTTGTGGTTTAATAGTGTTATTTCTATTGTTTGTACTGTGTATTTTTGGGATGAAATCGCCGTTCATTCCATAATACTCAATGATTCACTTCAATTGATAACCTTTTTCCAATATAGTATTTATATTGACAACTGTGTCCCATTTCTACATCTCCTGACTTGAACCTTTTACAAATTTTGTATGTTTCATTAGTCTGACGGCGTCTTGTACGTGATCTACTCCGTTATTCTTATATTCAGTATATTGTTTGTCTACTAACTTATTAGTTTCAATATCGGAGATGGCTTCTCTGAGACTGAAGTAGCGGTCGGAATCTACGGGGTCGTCACACAAGCACATGCAGTAGGAACAGTGCCAGACCACCCAGCGCCACCACGATTGCACCTGTGGCAATTTACACTGTGTGTTGAGTAACTATACATACTTGGTGTAAATTGTGGTAGAGAACCACTGAGCGGTCAGAGTCGTCGTCGGCCTAGTATATTTTAGTCTTTTATTCGGCTTTGTTCGCAGCAATCTCGATTTTCACTCTCTTTCATACTATAACGTCTTTCACTCAGTTCATTCATTGCTTTTTTACCTTCAACCGTCCTTATATCCACATTATATATTAACACATTACACAAAAGTATTATGTTTAATACTTTTTCATATAAATGTTCTATTTATTCTTTCGTGTTGCATCCATATTCATACCAAAATGATTGATTATTTTTTTTAATTTCACTGGTTCTATTATTATTATTATTGTGTGTATTAATATATTATTGTTTATTTCTTTAGTTTAGCCATGTAAGTGGCTATTTATCAGATAGTTATTTTTATTTAGATATCCACTCATTTCATTCTTCTAATTGGCTAGAGCCATTTTGTAAGGAGTATTAACAAGATAATGGAAAAGGTAATAAAAGTAAAAACAAATAATAATCGATAAGGAATCGCATAAAACTGTTGTATGAAATCTAACATAATTATCTAAATGAATATAGTATATCTGTATTATTATATATTAATAAATCTTAATTATAAAATTTTTAGTACAACCTCTATTGCGCCGTTTACTGATTCTAGTTTAATATTTTCATCACCTGGTGTGTTGTTCCTTTGTGAAGGGCACAGTCACTTTCTCTTCCGAGAATGTGTCCATTGACATATTTTATCCATTCATATCGCCGACTGCTTCTAGAGCTCTGTAAAAATACCATTAAAATTAAAATTTTTATAGAATATTTTGTTTGTTTAAAAAGTGCACCATTCAGTACATTATTCCCATAAATTAGATAAAAAATATGTTCGGAAGCTTCAAACCCATAAATAAGAGATGATAATGTTTAAATGCAAATGATTTATATACAACAGTCATGAATTGTCTCGTTCGTCGTCAGAACACTAGAGATCTTTTGTTAATTATTATACATGATGTTACACACTTACAAAAAGTGTGCTGTGTAAGTGTGAATGAAAATTGATGTAATTGTTTTTAGATGTTAGCAGTCTGCAAACGTTTGAATCGATTTTTTTTATTGAGAAATCAGTATAAAGCATTTATGTATACTTGCACCTGAGCGCAAGAATACAGTAGAACAGTACCATTAAATATAAAATGCAAATAAATATATATTATAGTGACTTACCGAGGTACAAACTGACATGTCAGACTCAACAAATTGACATTCATATATATTGCCATTGCACCGAGGTTGTCTCCCGCAGAATTTATCTTTGAAGCAGCCATAGCTTTTGGCCATTACGTAAGAAGAACACTGATTATGGCAACTTTTTTCCTTGTTCATATCCACTTCATTTTCTATATAACCTTGCAGCAAACGGGTTACCTCCTCGTAAGTTTTTCCTGTAAATTGATACTGATTTTTATTTACCAACGCCAGTGAAATTGAAACTAGGTCCCTAGAAAAGTCAACCGCTGCAATGCTTTTGTCAAATGTTGACGCCATGAACCCAATTTTGAATATGTCCTAGCCGAATATAGACGGCTAATAAGAGTTGTATAATTAAAAAGCAAGCTGACTTTCATAATACTTCAGATACTCGCATACCCGATTTATGTTTCTTTGGGTCGCAACGGTATAATTCGATTTTGGCTTGAGCCAAAGCAATTCTAGCCGCGTCTGCTGTCTCTGTCGCGCGTTGTTCAGACTTCTGCCTCGCCATACGTGTTTCTAGTGTTATATTCCCTGAAAATTCAAAATGTATGTATTTGCTATGTATAACATGTGCAAATATTTAGTGTATATACATATAGTTTTCAAGTGCTGACATTCTCCTATTCCGTTCATGCGTCACCTACCATCTTTTGTCTTCTCTCCTTTACACAAAGATTGTTTGTAACAGAATGCGCAAGCTTATAGCCCGACTTTTGGATCTGTATGTCCTCACTTTAGGATCGGATAGGATACTCCCTACGATATGTAAGAATAATTAAATTATCCAGAATTCTTGAAATTGATTTGTCTACCTCCTTTGTAGCTTTTAATTTTAGGCGTGACTCTAGATCATTGTAGCCTTGCTTTTATTCCTATTACAACGGTGCAACAATCTTTACCTAGGATATTCTTAGTTACTTATATTTATATTATTAGTCCTTATTTCTCTGATGTAAGCTACATCATTATGTATCAAGTTCTGAACCTTAATAATAATAATAAATTTTATTTGTAAAGGATTTTGGGTACATTACATACACTGAATTCTATTGAAGTTGCATAATATAAATTGTTGCACCTGTTTCGTAGTTTTTCTTTAGCATCCATGAGAACTGTATCATGGCGTAGGCTTTGACCTCCGCCAGCGCTAAAGTGTTGTATACGTCGTAGATGAGCTGGTGAGGTGACATCTGCATCTCGCACAGTTTTGACCGTTGGAAGTACTGATGTTGCTCCTAGAATATAACACATAATGAATACACTACTGGGGCTACTGTGAGCTTTCCTTTGTGCTTTAATTGACATATCATAAATAGAAAACACTATTTCACACAAGTAGAAAACACTATTTCACATAATAATTACAATTTACCTGCAAAATATTGTGAAATGTACTCAGCGCCGAATGTTGAAGATCCAATATTACTTGAGACACAGCGGTTTTCGGATCTGTCAGTACACTCTTTACTAAATTCAGACACTCTGCCGAGCTAGCCGACGTGGCGCCCGGTTGCGATTGCCGCGTCATGAACTCTAAGAACTTATTGTACATATTTTCAATTTGTTGTATCTGTTGCTGCGGCTTCCGCCACCACGAGCTGTTCAGTGCTACATGCGGTATTTGCCGCGTTTTCTGTTGAACCGATTCAATGTTGAAGAAAACAAACACTTTGGCCAGCTCGATGTCGCCGCCTGACCTGCGCCATTGCTGGTCGTTCACACGCCTCCACTGTTGATCTTCTATTGTATAAAATTCATTTCGGATATTATCTACTGGCGACTGTCCATTTGTTAACACAAATGTAAACACTACTAACGCCAGGGACAACTTCATTATATCGCGGATTTATTTTATAAATTAAATTGCGAAGTTGCGTGCGGGACGCATCGCCTTAGCAGAATGTCGTTGGCCGCGTGCGTTAAGACACCCGTATCGGTCTTAGTGTAGTGATAATAAAGTGTACTCAAAATTGCGCGGAATCAATTCCAAGTAAGTGATTCCATACTTTTGCTCGCTAGTGTAGATTTAACTGAATAACATCCGTTGTGTTCTTTTTCAGTGGATTCTATTGATAACATACTTCACGCGGATTTACTATTTGCCAGTTCTACTACTTTAGATTAAATACAACCATTTTCATACATTTATTTATTTATAACCTCGCTGCACACGATTACTAAAAGTAAATATTTGGCGCACTCAACACCATGCAAAATCTACCAGTCAATAGTAGGCGGTGCGATTAGTTGCTGCTATTGAGTAAAAACAATATATGCATGATGACTAGGGCCCTCACAGGACATATACACTATTTATAACTCAAATTCAAATTTAAATTCAATTTTTTGTTTTATCATTTTATACATAATTATATTTTCTGTGAGAGGAACAATGAAGAGTTTCATTCATTCATTCATTCATTCTTTCTTTATTCGTGAAGTACAGGTTACAAAGGTCTTAAGAAATAGATGGAAGTTTCACTATCTTCTGCAATTACGCGTACAAATTTTCGTCATCCAGAAATTCATTTAGGCTTATTATAATTATTATAACAAGAATTATTATAATTCTTGTCTAATAAATATTTCGTTAAAATAAATTTAAAATGTTTAAAATCAGTTTAATTATATGTATATTTTATTTGGTCTTTTTTTTCGTTTGTTGTTTATATTGTATTTTTTACATTGCACTGAATAAAATATTTTTCTTTCTTTCTTTCTTTCTTTCTTTCTTTCTTGCTTTCTTTCTTTCTTTCTTTCTTCTAATGTCATTAGTAAACTTCATTCTCTTAGGTATTTTATTACATATTGTAGGAACCATACCTAATATGCTTTAACTGAACATAGATGTATTATGTGGCGTATGTTGTAATTTTTCTTTATTTCTGACTGAACACAGATTTCTGAACCAATTTTGGATTTGACAAATACTGCTAATTCATATATATACATTGATGGGAATGTCAATATTCTTAAATCTTAAAAATATTTCTTACATGCATCAGTACTGGAAAGTTGAAACATTGATACACTTCGAGTTGGTTGCACTAGCAATAGTCACGATTGGACTGACCATTACCTTATATAAATTCGTCTTAAGACTCGAATAATAAAGAATAAAAAAAGTACTATTTTATACTTGTTAGGAATAAAACTTACGTTAATTCGGTCTAGCATTTATTTGTTTGAACAAGATATCAATTATAAAAAGGTAATAAAAAAGTAATCAGCGGCAAGCGACTTTATTTTATACTATGTAAATAGTATTACATAAAGTAGCTGTCTGTCCATATATATGCTTAAATCTTTAAAACTACGCAACGTATTATGAAGCGGTTTTTTAATGGATAGAGTTCTTCCTGAGAAAGGTTTATATATATGATACATGTACACCCGTGTGAAGCCGGTAACCGGAAGCGAGTAGGTAGTAAGTATATATAAGGGATAGTAATGGCGACAGTACTGTTAACCTAAAATTCTGTAAAAGCGGTGGTGTGGGCGCGGACGTGTGCAGTGTAGTCGTAGGAGAATAGTTTGAGAGCGATGTAGCCGCCGGAGCCATGCATGCCGCGGTGCATCAAACCCACACCTCTCAGCAACACATTGTCTGTAAAAACGTTTACTGCTTCATTGTTTTTTTATTTCTTTATCATATTACTATGGTGGCTAACAATACGGTCCAAATGAAATGAAATGAAATTTATTTGTTACTACCTGTACCCGCGACTTCGTCCGCCAAAAAAAAGCCATCAAAATCAGTCCAGCCATTTCAGAGATTAGCCGGAACAAACAGACAAAAATAGTAAAAAATGTTGTTTTTTGTGTTTATATGTATGTACCGTATTTATATTCATATGCATGTAGTAAAAAAGTTATTTCAATATTACAAACAGACACTCCAATTTTATTTATATGTATAGATAACGAAAAATGACATAAGTGTAAAATGTATGTCATACGGTCAACGGGCTGGACGTATGTCGATACTGGTTGTATATCGATGAATGGCACGGTGCTCTGCGCAGCGTCAGCATCGAAATCACTGTGTGTGAACTCTATGAACTGGTCGTGTTTGGAGACGATAGGCAGTGCGGCGTTATTCCGTGTCGGTATGTCTGGACTCGTCAGGTTTTGTCGGCGCCTGTTACACAATTATTACATCAGAGTCAATATATATAATACATTTTTTGTGCATTGATAATAGAATAGTGCTTGCCAGATCTTCAGTCCTCCAATTTTCTGCCAGATCGATTTTTATAAAATTGAATTTTATTTAGTAGGTCGGAGAATATTTTTATACCCTTAGGTGATAAGGTTATTCTGGATCTGGAGGTATATGACAAAATAACATTTGTCGGGTCACGTAGTTTGTTTTGTTCTTTGCAAGCACATGATGTATGGTTTTTGGCTTATTACGATTAATTTACATAGTATAAGCGACAATCAAGCAAGCAAGGTGACCTTGCTTTGTATGTCTTTTAAAATGTATAACAGTAATTGAAGTGATAGTTAAGCTCAATTTTAAATATGAATCTCCTTCGATAAGTATACACTATATCCTGACGAGATGAACTTTGAATGAGGGCGAGCACAATAGATCTATACAGGTCTTAACCCAAACCGCCCCAATAAAAAAATGTTCCATTTACTACTTGCCTAGGAGATGGACTTCCGTCCGTGTTGTCGTTGTAGAGCCACATGCTGTTCCTAGGCAACAAGCGGCCGGTTTCAAAGTTAAATTTTGTCACTCGTATTCTGAGATTCAAATGTGCACCCAACACGCCAAATCTAATGGAAAGAATGAACACCAATTGAATAAATATTTTTTATTACATTTATTGTAAATGCTTGTAATTCATAAATTTTCTGATCCTGCTTCTGATTGAAATTGGCAGTTGACAGTACATTATTATACGTAAAATCCAGAAAAGCACTTATGCTATCAAAATATCGGGAACTCAATAATAATAAATAAAACTTATAAGAACTCGTGAAATGTAAAAAGTACATTGTATACATGTGCATTCTTAATTTTAATTGCATTTTATATGATACGGTTCAATTTGACATAATTTAGTTTGTTTTTGTTTTGTGTTTATTTACACGTACATTTTTTATGAATCCTGTATGCACCGTTTGTCCTAATTATCAGATTCCACTGTAAACGGTAAGTGAGCCGTTTACAGCTTAATGACTTCATGACGCCAGCTGTATGCGCTAGGGTCGACATAATGGTTCCGTCTCTTTCTTACATACACCACCCGGTATTGGCCTCGAAGTACATTTAGTAGTAGCTCAATATTTTATATCGTCACAGTATTTGTTATCGACAGTCATTAATAATAATCACCTTACTGCTGTCAAAACATATCCATCTGGCGCCTCTAGGTCGTCTAGGTCCATTGCTTTTATGCCGTTATTCAGGGTATGGTAATCTTTGCCGTTTGCCAAGCGTTCTAACGGCATATCATATTCATTTTTAAACACTAAAGACTCGGAAGTTACTAGCCCATTTCCTTTAAGTGTACCCTGGCTGATTTGGAGATGGAATATCCTATTAAATTTCACCAGACGAACACCAGTTATAACCCTGAAAAATAAAGCACAAATTGCTTCAAATCATGACTTTTGAAGTTATGTGATACAACAACAATGTTTAATATCTTAAACCAATTTATAAAATATATCATTTGTATAAAATTTATAAATAATGTAATTTGTGTTATATGATATTACTGAGGAATTGAATGAAGATTAAATTTTATTTGTTGTTATAGATGTAATAATAATACTTTATTTACAAAATGTAGGTAAACAATAAGGTGTTAACAATATGTTATCGAGATCCGTACATTAACCTCATTAACTTTCAATTTGTAGGTACAATTTATGTTTAATTATATAACAGTCACTGTACTACGGCGTCATACAAATTGTCGTTAATCTACGGTATTTAAGTCAATGTATCAGTCAGGAAATCACCAACCGTGTAGTAAATTTATCAATCAGTATATTAGATCTTAGATCTAAGATCACTTTCAGTTTTTAGTTAATAAATGTTCTCTATACTTTTCAATTCTAATTTGGTTCAGCCCTAGTTTGTTTGTGTCGTAGTTAGTATAAATGTACTTACTTACTTCTTTTTCATATATATCGCTGATTAAATGCCAAAGGGCCACAGGACGCGAACGGTAAATTTTACAGGAGAGTTCATCAAAATTTACAATGTGATATTTTTACTGTTTTTATAAGTGGTATATCTATCTGTTAGCTCTAGAATTATGGGTGTCTTTTTTTTTTTTCAATATAAAAATTATAACGATTTATATACAAAAAAAATAGTTTCAATTTTTTTTTTCCGTTGTGGCTCTTTGGCATTTAATCAGCTATATATGAAATGAATGAAAGACTGACTTGTTATTTTGAATGTCGGAGGCGGCTTCTTTGAGACTGAAGTATCTATCGGAGTTTTCGGGGTCGTCACACAAGCACATGCAGTAGGTACAATGATAAAATATCCAGCGCCACCAAGAGTCCACCTACAGTGTACATAGTGTTATTAAAGGTAGACGGTTGTTTTTTTTATGATATTAGCGTGGCATATAAGGCGGTCCTTATGGCAAATGGTAATTGACGGCTATATACATTAACAGCACTACGGACATCACGTTATCAGGTGATATTCTGTGATAGATAACACTAATTTGTTTGCATTAATAATAATAATAATAATAATCTCAGGACAATTCACACAGCACCATCTAGACCCAAGTTAAGCCAGCTAAAGCTTGTGTTATGGGTACTAGATAACTGATACATAGATTTTTTTTTTTTCGTAAATACACACTTAATATACATAGAAAACAACCAGACCGACACAAACAATCATACTCATGAATACAAATGTTTGTGCCGTGCGAGGAATCGAACCCGCGACCATCGGACGTAAAGCGGTGTGTTAGACCGCTAGACCACCGAGGTCAAAATCGCATTGTATGGAACTAAGATGTCATGACCCTTATTCTGTAATTCCACTGTCCAATTTCACCCTGCAATCGAGACAGTTAACAAACCTCACCTCGACGCGGCACCCCCTGGAAACCATCGTGATAAATTCTTGGTGAATTTGTCAGGATATGCTAACTGACCTGACTTCATGCTCTTCTTATCTTCCAACGGTGCTCCGCCAGCGAAAACCGTTAGCGCAGGCGGGTGGACCATTCCATTATCATCAATAAAAAAAACTTCATAAAGGGCGAACACAATAGATCTATGCAGGTCGCAGTGCTACACGGATATTTGATTAGTAATTCCAGTATTAGAAACAGCTGACAACGAACAACAAAATTAAGTAGTTTCATCACCTGTCTTGAATAGCTGCAAACGGTATCATGTCCTTGTCTATAACCATTCTTATATTTAATCCATTCATATCGACGAGTGCTAGTAGATTTCTGTAAGAAACAATTCATTATTAAATAAATTAGTACCATGGTTAAAAACGCTCGATTATCATACTTCGGAACAATTGTTTAGAATATTATCCTAATTTAAATAATATAACGTAAAATAAAAATAATTAAATAAATATATATATATATATATAGTATGTAGTGTGTGTATATACACACACTACATACTATATATGTATATATCGTTGTGCGCATATGTAACATATAAATATAAGTAGAACCGTTTTTTGTAACAAACATGCTTTATTATAATATAAGTTCCTACATTTAGTGGTCGCACTTGCAAGTATTTATGCACCGATTGTAGTTGGACCATACGATGTGACGTCATTGCCTCAACGACACGATTTATTTTATTTATAAGTATACCCTACATTAGTCTTATTTCTTATTTTTTCGTTCAACTCTTAAGAATCGTAGAGCATGTTATCTTTAGGTGGGCAATGGTGTCCAGATACAGGCTAGGCCTAGTTTAGACACTACAGCACTGGACTTGATATTAAATAGTTTTAAGAACTATTGTATATATATGAATTAATAATATATAACCTTAGTTGAGTCCCTTTTGTATTTGTTTTCTTTGCACAATAAAGTTATTATTATTATTATAAATAAATAAATTACCCATTGTTCATCGTTCTACTAAGGCCCTAACTGGACACTGCAAATTGAATAAACATATGGCAAATTTAGGCCTGGTCGTAACTAAAAGCAGATATTGCCAAACTAGTTTAGTTGTAGCCCACTCATGCATAAAAGAAATACCTCCTTTGTATATTATAGACACTATCCTGAGGAGATAAAACTATCGCTCCTAATAATGTACTTCAATTCCTGTCCCTGTTCGACCTGACTTAGAACCAAGTACCGAACTTCATAAAGAGAGGGGGGGGGGGCGTTAGTAGTGAGGACTCATGATCTTATTGCTAACAATGTAGCGTGTCAGGTTGACCTCTATGCAGTACCCCCTGGAAACCATTGTGATAAATTCTTGGCGAATTTTAAACGATGGGCTAACTGCCCTGACCTCGTGTTCAACTTATCATACCCCACTGGTGATCCGCCAGCGTAAACCGTTAGCGCAAGCTGGTGCACCATTTCATTATCATCAATAAAAAAAACTTCATAAAGTGCGAACCAGGTCGCAGTGCTACAGGTATGAAGCACCTAGCGATAGCTCTAACCCCTCAATAAAAAAAATGTTCATCACTTGATAGAAAAATTGCTACTATTAAATTAATATAATCAGAGATGGACTATAAAACATGGTCTACGGGTACTTCAGTCTGACCTGTTTCAGCGGCCAAACAGCTTGTTTTGTAGGCTTCTGTTAGGGTTGTACGGTGCAGATCAAACAGTGAATTTCAGGATAAGAGGCATGACATCTTAGTCCTCATTAATATATTACGTAATTTATCGATTGTCAATAGCATTAATTTACTTGAACTTATTTTCACATTTTAGTTCTTACAAGATCACTTTATATATAAAAAAGCAAGTCCTGGCTTCACACGAATGCATTAAGTTATATTATTATAAATTTCCGTCATCTGGAATCCGCTTTACAAGGTGCACATCAATCGAATAGAAAGTGTGCAGAAGAATTTCATTAAACAACTAAATTATCGCTTGAGTCACGTTGGTAAAAACTATGAGTCGTCTTTATTAGATTGTAAGATTATGAATCTAGAAAATCGTCGTAAACAGTTTGATATGGTTTTCTTATATAAATTGTTGAATGGTCAAATTGATTCTCCCCTTCTCCTGCCATCCATAAATTTTAACGCACAAATTCGTAGACCTGCACGCCTCTCTCGACGCTCCAGTAACATGTTGGTACCACCACGGTTTAAAAAGAACTACACCAGTAATTGCTATATACCCCGTTCCGTCAATATGTATAACACAAAGTTTGTTGAATTGGATCCGTTTTGTTGCACCTTAGTTACATACAGAAAGAAACTTTTCGAAATACTAAAGTAACCCCCTTTTTATTTTTATTTTTGTTATTATAATTATTATAATGTTTGTATTGTAATACTCTTATTTCTTATTCATACTCATTTTTCTTATTCATTTTCTTCGTATTTGTATTGTTTTGTTTTTATTTTAGTCCACTAGGCTCACTAAAAATAAAATTAAGTAAAAAACACACTCAATGTCTATCGTAAAAATTACTTTTATTTGTATATTTATATGTTTTTTATAACGACTGTTTGTTGCCAAAATAAAGAGAAAAAAAAAAAAAAAAAAATCTTTGAATTTCGCCGCTTATTCTACACTATAACACGCTTGTATTAAACATATAAACCTTCTCTTGAATTACCCTATCTATTGCTGAAAACTGCATTAAAATCCGTTGCGTAACTTAAAAGATATAAGCGTACAGACAGACAATGCTGGGTACTTTGTTTTATACTATGTAAATAAATATCAATCATTCGGGAATACTGTTGTGTCTGTACAAGTTTATTAGCAAATACTATGAAAATATTATCCATATTAGTAATATAAATGTGAAACTGTCTTGTCTGTTTCTTACCCATATACGAAATGTCTGAACGAATGTTAATTAAATTTTACGTGAACTTAAATAGTATTATGACAACGGACATGTGCTATCTTATATTCTGAAAAATGCAGGCGAACTTGCAGGCACAGCTAGTATAACTCACCGAGACACACACGTTCATGTGTGATTGGACAAATTTGCAATCTAATATAACGCCATTGCAACGAGGTTGGTGCGAGCAGAACTGGTCTTTGAAACATCCATAGTTCTTGGCCACTTTATAAGTCTGGCAGTCATCCCAGCAGGTGTGGTCATTGTTCATATCCACTTCATTCTCGATGTAACCTTGC